GGCAGGCTCCTGCCGCAGCAAGGAGGGCAGGGCTCTGGCGGGGTCTCCCCCCGGCCGTCCTGGAGGGTCCCGTCCAAGGTAGGTTGGTCTTGTGGTTCTGTTGCCATCTCTGTGTGCCAGAGGAGTGGAGCAATCCTAGACATCTCGGTGGCCATCAGAGGGGAATCCTGGTGACGTCCCCAGCTCCATGGCCCTGCCAGGCTGTGTGAAGGCCATGTCTCACCCCACCGTGGCCCACCAGATCCGGGGGTAGGTGGGCTCGCTGCTGCTTCTGCACTGCGCCAGGCAGTGGAGAAGGTTGGGAGTGGACACTGGACCCAGTGCCGGTTGCTGATGAATATGTGATTGGAGCGACTTCCCCCTGCACAGAATCTCTACATTAATTTATTTCATGAGGGCATAATATTTATTGTTTGGGGGACACACTCTTTCTACTTTTAAATTAATTTCCGTATTAAAAAAAAAATAAAATGCTAGCCTCCATCATGCAGTGGTTGCTCCTTGGGTTGTCTGTGTGGGGAGAAGCAGGCAGTTGACCAAAGCGTAGCCTGGAAGCAGGGCCGGCTGCGGAGGTTGCCTGTAGCTGACCCGCATCGTGTTGGCTGGATGTGCCCCATCGGGGCATCGTGCCAGAGCAGGGAGGAGCTGCTCCGGGTGTTCTGCAGCAGCCGGAGGGAGGACGGAGTCCTCTTGTCGTGGTGGGGCAGGTGGAGGAGCACATGTGGAAGCCTCCTGTGCTCATTCCCAGTGAGGAGGAGGGCTGTGAGGTGTGCGGGGTTGGGAAGGCAGAGCTCCTGCTGGGGAAGCGCCTTTCCCCACGCAGGGAATGGCACTCGGCTGTGCAGAGGCTGGCCCTAGCCCCGACAGCGGACACGCTGGCTGCTCGCCTCGGTGCCCGGGCTCCTGAGGAGAGGCTGGGCTCAGTGAGTGTGGCTGTGTGTGTGAACGCGGTAGGATGGAGACCTGAAATCCAGGAACCTCCATGTCACGTCTGGGTGTCACCAGGCAGGAGATGTGCTTGCCTGCGTGGGATGTCCCCGGAGCGCGGCTGAGACTTTGGAGCTGTGGTAGCTTATAGGGGGGCTTCTTTGGCTGGGGAGGCTGCGTTTGCTGGTGTTTGCTGGGACCAACTGGGTGTAGGAAAGGGCAGGATGCCCTGGCATCCTCCATCAAAGGGGTGCTGGAAGATGGGGACCTCCCTTCCTGAGAGAGATAGAGAGAGAGAGGGGTGTGTGTGCACGCGTGCGTTATGAAAACATAATAAAAAATGTTATGGGGCTTTCCTAGTGTCTTTCTCTGTTTAATGGACATTGTCTGTCAAACATAACCACACCGTTCATAGAAGCCTTAGATCAACAATTTAGCTATGCAAATTATTTTAATTATTTTTTTAAAAAAAACAAACATTAAAATAGTGCTTTCTTCTTTAACATATCCTAGGAGTTGAAAACCGAGGGGTTCTGAGCAAACTGCTGGACAACTTGTCTTTGGATGCACCATGGAAATAAAAATCAAAACCCCCCACAAAAGTAACAAAGCAAATTAACTGATGGTGTTCATGCAAGTTTCTCCAAAGACTTGACAGTGCTGCGTCTGTGAGTCATGCCCTCCTGTGCTCTGTGTGTCCACCTCGTGCACGACCCTGTGCCGCTGATTGTATGACGAGCTTGCCCAGATGTCCATTGCATCTCTGTGAGGCTGTCAGTTTTCCGGTGGATTTGGGGGAATGGACCTAGGCAAGGGCTTTCCTTGAGAGTAGCGAGCGTTGAGACCCGTGGGGGAGGCTGGGGCGTGAGCAGACCCTGGCCAGAGCCCTGCTGTAGCCCCGGCCCTCGCTGATGGTGCTCAGGGTAGTGGGGTTCGTCCGAGGGACCCTCGCGAGGCCCCTCGGAATGGGGCGTTCCCATGGCTCTGTGCTGGCACAAGGTGTGAAGATTCGGCTGGGGGCGGTTGGCACCGCGGCTCTGGATGCAGTACCTGTGACTGCACGCTGTTTTCTCTGCTCCTTGCCTCTGCAGGAGAGCACCCAGGGCTTCCTGAGCAGGCCCTGGCACATCCCTGTGCTGCTGTCTGGTGTCCCCCCAGGGTCCCCCAAGGCCCTGGGCCCGTAGGAGCTGGAGGCAACTGGCACTTGGCATGCGCTTTGTGCCACGACCTCGCCACTAACCTCCGGCACCAGGGCGAGGTGTGAGGGCTCTACCGGCTCCTGCACGGCCGCGGTGGCTTGGAGACCCCTCTCCGCCCTCCTGTGCCCTGGCTGCCCCCGGCTGTGACCTGCTGATGAGGGTCTTCCTTGCTGGCAGGCACCCATGCGTCCGGGTGGCTGCAGCACGGTGTGGCACCTCTCTGCCCCACGTACCAGCCCTGAGCACCCCTGTAGCAAGGAGCCGAGTCCCCTGGGCCCCCTCTGAGCCTTGGCC